GAACTGACTCCAACATATCGTACAATCACGAATATTTCAATCCCTTAAATATCCAGTTAAATTTTATTCGAATCACGCATATTTTTTTTTGTCATACCTATGACCTTCGGACACTGAGAAGAACAAAAGGAGACAGTTGTTTTTACTAGGAAACCGAGAAGCACTGACAATAATGTGGGCCAATCCGGAAAATTAATCGAATTTCTAATCACGCATTTTTGGCATATGTGCAAATGCAAAAACGCATATTGTGAGGACTCGTGGTATACGTGCGTGTGTATATGCGTGCGCCTTCCCGAACATTTCAAATCGCTAAAATTTTGCCGGTGAGTTCCCTGGCCAAGTGCTATCCTAGGACCGTGGTGCCAACCTTAACGTAAGTCTGGGCCCCACGTGCAAGCGCACGAAAATTTTTGGCTGGAAAAAATAATTGCTAATTAGGAAACCAGAAAAGTTGGAACACCGAAATTTTGACGGAACACTCCCTGTCCATGTGCCACCAAATAACTTCCTGGACTTCGTGGACCAGTATATCAAAAGTCCTAGTTACTGAGATTCTAAACGTTCTTGCTACAGCACGAAATACTGCAAGAACGTATGATCGCACGGGACCGCCTGGTGTGCGTTGCCAATGATTGTTTCGAAAATTCTCAGTCATCGTTTAATCGACGCGGCCTTAAAATTCCGAGAGAACCTTGAAAGATTTTTTTGAAAAGGCACCTTTGACTCCTTTTATGCAAGAGAGCGCACCACAAACAAAACTTTTTCAAAATTTCAGTGAGAAATTAATAACAGCATTATCACTAGTATCATTATTGCTATCAAAATAAGCGTTAAGATAGCAAAATGCAGGCTAACTATCAAATAATGCGGCATTAGCCAAAACTACTGAAAATTTTGCCATTGCGTAGATACAGAGTCGCGCTACCTATCCCTAACCATCGCCAACTATACTATTATGAACTATCTTGATTTACCCCAATTGAAATGCAGGTTGATAAAATATCAAAATGTCACCACTTTCAATGGTAATAACGATGTGATAATAACAATGCAAATAGTAGCAGAATATAGTATTAATAACAGTGACAACGATAATAATAATAATAATAATAATAATAATAATAATAATAATAATAATAATAATGATAATGATAA